TTGTTGGAATTTCCCACATTTATTGGATCATGATCCAATTTTATAATATAAGTGTGTAAAATTCACCTTACAGCTAGTTTTGTGTAGGGTTGTGTAGGCTTAATGTCCACTTTTTTAACAATTATCATCAAGGATCCTGTTAGGGTTGGAAGGTATATGAGAGAAAAAGGTATAAGAGGAAAAGAAGACCGCACGGTGGAAGCGGATGGAAGATCAGCCGAATGGAGGGAAGAGGTTCGGAAATGGAAGACCGAACGGGGAAGGAGGACAGACCAGAGCCGACTCGGTTGAAGAGCAAGACCCAAATAAAAAATCATCTTTGGGGCATTTGATCTCAGAAAGGGTTGTGTGAGATGGACCAAGACAAAGTGAAGGCAGTTGTGGATTGGGAAAGCCCAAGACAACTAAAAGCCTTAAGGGGGTTTCTTGGGCCTGACAAGGTTACTACAACAACAAGGCGTTTCGTGAAGGATTATGGGAAGATCGCCAAACCATTAACCGAACGGCTTAAGAAGGGGCAATTCACATGGACCGAGCAAGCTGATGTGGCCATGTCTAGATTAAAGGAGGAGCCGTGACTACTGCACCAGTGTTGATTCTACCTAACTTTAACCAACCTTTCCATATTGAGTGTGATGCTTCGGGAGGAGTAGGAGTTGTTCTAACTCAAGGAAAGAGACCCATTGCTTTCTTCAGCAAAGTACTGTCAGAGGGATCATTGTGTATAAGACACGGGCTACCAACAGTTGCAGATGCTCTGTCTCGAAAAAGGGACGAAGGTATGGAGGACGAGAAGGAATTGAGGGTGGTGGCCAGGCCTTATTGGCAAGACTTTGAGGAGATTCTAAAGGAGAACCTTCCTTACACAGAGGTATATACATCTTGAGTATAGGAGTAAACATTAATGGATGGTCGAATAGTGGGTGGAACAATATGCCTAAGTCGCATAATTAGTGATATCTAACTTATCAATGGGCAAGTGCACATTAACAAAGTTAGTAAAGACTGATGGGCTAGACACACTAGTTGCAGAAGAGATATCGGAAGACGCCATGGAAGAAGAGAGAGAGAAACCCTAAAACACCTCCAATCAAGGCAACAAGCATAGATCTCGAAAGAGGAGAAGGAGGCGATTTTTGTGCAGTTGATCATTGCCCAGATGATATGATCCTATCCTGAAAATATTATGATTGTTTCTGAATTTTATTACTCTCATAGGATAAACAAAGAAAATTAGAGAAGAACACAAAAATAAGACAGATAGAGACGCCACAATCTAGCAAATTGATGAGTCAGTGAAGATTCGCCACAAAGATCTTAATGTTTTACAAGAACCATTGTTCTATAACAAGAACCAATAGAATCCTCTCGCAATGAATTCAAAATTCAAATATTGACTATCAAAAGCTTTAGGCTCTAGATACCATATTGAATATAGTAAAACTAGGTATAAGATTAATCTTTCCATGTGTCTAAAACACACATAGGGTAATACATTTATAATGAAGAATGATACTCTATATGGCAACCAAACATAAATATGGTAAATAAAAGATATTGTTAAAAATAATATCAATAATATCTACCAATATCAAAAGTCTATGTTTCTCTAATTAACATGAAACACAATATATCTAACACCCAACAAATCCCACTAGAATATGATCTAATAATGGTTATGATACCATGTTAAGAAGTGGACTTTAAGTCTAACTTTACCACATAAAACCAGAGCCATGATTTAGAATCTATACTAGCAAACCTCACCTTAAAAGCCGGTTTTGTAGGGTTGAGTTTGGCTTAAAGTCCACTTCTTAACATGATATCAAAGCCATGACTTAGAGTCTATTCTAGGTAAATATGTATTTTGTTGGGCATATTGTTCCACTCACTATTAGACTACCCATTAATATCTAGTCTCACACACAAGATATATATACCTCGATGTGAGAGGAGTGTGTTGAAAATTCCATATCAACTAGTAATAAAGCTAGTTTAGACTATACAAGTGGGTACAAACCTCACTTTATAAGCTAGTTTTGTAGGATTGAATTAGGTTTAAAGTTCACTTCTTAACATGGTAACAGAGTCATAGATTAGAACATATCCTAGCAAGATTTATATTTGTTGGACATATCATTCCACCCATTATCAAACCGCTATTGGACCACCAATTAATATTTAGTTCCACCCTCAAGATGTATATACTTCAGTGTGAGAGGAGTGTATTGGATGTCTCACATTGACTAGTGATAAAGCCAATTTATAATATATAAGTGAGTGTAAATCTCACCTTACAAGCCGGTTTTGTAGGGTTGAGTTAGGTTTAAAGTCCAATTCTTAACAACAATCATGCATTCTAAATTTTGTTTCAAGTAGACAACAATATTTTATATCATACAATGAACCTTCACATATACTTAATTTACTTAAAAAGACACATTTCTAACACGATATATTGTTAGTTGTTGAATTCTGTTTAAAAAGGAATCAATATTTGTTATGTTGTAGAGAATAACCTTTCTCAATGTCTCACAAATGGCAACCGCAACCCAATTTGGCCAGACAGCCAGAGTAACTAAATTTACGAAGCCAACAAACGGTGTTGCACATATAGCTGTAGTCACCCCAGCAATAGTAAGAATGCGTCCCTGTACAAGTAATACATAGTTAACGTTAGTAAAATGAATCATTAATACTAACATTAAAGAATAAAAATCATGACTAAACTTTTTCATCGTCATTGTAAATAATATTGCCTCTTCAAAATGGTTACTTCATGTAGCAAAGGAAATAATATGGTCATAAAAAATTATTCTCCTATTATTCATCATTTACGCAAGTAAATAAATGGCAAAGTAAACAGTCCCAACAAACCCAACAGGTAGATAGAAAAAAATGTGGACCAGCCCATATTCCAAACAAGTTGTAATGTTAAGCCTAGTCCGACCCCTATGTCCGATAAACCATTTTGGTGTCCTACTCCTTCATTCATATAAAATAGCAAATACTAAGCACAACTTCCCAAAAACAATGTTGGATCCCAACAAGTTTATGGGACAAAGAGTCATCTGTCCAGGAGGGGTCTGAGACACCTAAGGCATGGAGTGTGTATGTGAGTAAAAGGAAGATGGGAAGTCCTATGAGGTGGCATGAGTAGTGGAGAGGTTGTTAAACATGAGAAAATATTTTTTATTATTTGGATTCATGAGGAAGAGGGGGATGGGCGATCTGTTATTTTCTGATATTCTGTTAGAGGAGCTATGCTGTTGGCATTTGGAAGTTTGCTCCTCTTGTAGTTTCCCTTTTATTGCAAATGATACATAATTCTCGAGTTTCTTCATATTTTCTGCTTCTACATTTACAACTATAATATTGGTCTGTAACAGAAAAATTGCAGAAACCTCTCTCTTTCAATATTTCATATTGGTAATTTGGAGATAATGACAAGTGAACTTTTTCTGAATGTTCATAGTTTTTCTGAATGTTCATAGTTTCTCCAATGGGTGTTCAAGCATTTTCTCCACAATTGTGTGTGTGTGATCACTAAATGTGTAAAAACAGATTACATAGAAGAACTTAATTAGAAACCACAAACTGTTCTACCAAAGTGGTAAAAACAGAAAACATCAACATACAATTCTCCAGGTCTTTCGAGAGGACCAGTCTCTCCAGATTTTCTCCTTTACAACCAACTAAAAAATTGCCCACAATAATCTAACAAACAAAATATAAAAGATAATTACACAACACAACTGCAGAGGCTACAACTACATGCTAGGAATTTATAACTACCTGCCTCCTCTATTTCTTCTCACATAAACCTAGCAACTAAACCTATCAATACCCCTTCCATGAAGTTTCACCTTGTCCTCAAGGTGAAAAGCAAGAAACTCCTTGCAGATGGTAGCTGCTGCTTCCCAACTATTTTCAAAAGAGAGGAGATGCTGCCACTGGATTAAAACTTCCAAGTCACCATCCTTATTGAATAGGGTATCCAAAAGAGCTCGGGGAGAAATATCAAGGATTAAATCCTCCGTTAGTGCAGAAGGGAGGGCCTGAATAGGAGTTATTGATTGGACCATGCACTTAAGGAGAGAGACATGGAAGACTAAATGGATTCGGGAGTGAGTAGGAAGTTCTAACTTGTAAGCAATTGCCCCTATATGTTCAAGCACCTTGTAAGGGCCATAGAATCTTGGACTTAGTTTTTCATTTGGTCTTCTTGCAAAGGACCTTAATCTATAAGGTTGCAATTTAAGATAAACCTAGTAATTCATCTAATCTCCACCTCTCGCCTATGCTTATTAGCTTGAACCCGATTCTACTGTTAGGCTTTGCATAGGTTTGCCCTTAACTCCTTTAAGAGCGCATCACCTTCCTATTGGAGTTGATTAACACTTTGGACTTTAGATGGAATAGTATTGCCCTTGAAAATTAACGGAGTGTCACGACCATAGAGAGCTTTGAAAGGGGTCACTTTTGTAGAGGCACTATAATTGGTATTAAACCAAAATTCAGCATAGGGCAACCATTGTAGCCATTTCCTGGGTTGAGACCCTGTCATACAAGTTAGATAAGTCTCTTAACAACGATTAACAAACTCGGTTTGGCCGTCTGATTGGGGATAGTAGGTTGTGCTAAACTTTAGCTTGGTGTCAGCCTGTCTAAATAATTCAAGCCAAAAATTGCTCAAAAACAGCTTGCCACAGTCAGAAACTATTGTGGAAGGGAACCCATGAAGTTTTACCACTTCTTTGATGAACAAGTAAGCCACTTGGATTGCTGTAAAAGGATGAGCGAGGGCCAAAAAGTGAGCATATTTGGTAAACCCCCAACAAAATCCATAAAAATAGTATCCTTGCCCTACACCTTGGGTAAACCCCTAACAAAATCCATAAAAATATCTGAATAGACGTGTGTAGGAATGGGTAGTAGTTGTAACAAACCTACAGGGGCCAATGTCTCTGTTTTGTTGCATTGGCAAACCGCACACTACATCACAAACTCCTTGATATCATCCCTTCCTAGTAGACTACCCTGCTATCCTTTTAAAAGTCCTAAAGTACCCACTGTGGCCTCCTAAAGGAGACTCATGCAGCTCCTTGATGATTCCAGGAATGCGAGAAAAGTTCCTAGGTAACACCAATGTCCCATGGTAGAACAATCTTCCTTTCTTCAACTTAGACCCCTCACGAGCTCTCGGATTTAACAATAATTCTTGGATGAGAGAAACCAACTTAGGATCATGTTGTACATAGGCTTCCCAAGTCTCCTATTCACTCATTTGAAACAAAGACAACCATAAAGTATTGCCTCCTGGAGAAAGCATCAGCCACTTGATTCTCCTTGCCAGGGCATAAACGAATCTTGAAATCATAGCCAATAGGCTTGGAAGCCCATTTAAACTGTTGTTCTGTTAGTAAGCGCTCCAGTGAGAAACTTGAGGCTCTTTTGGTCTGTAACAATAACAAAATGACTACCCATGAGGTAGTGTTCCCATTTCTGAACTGAATATAGCCATCAACTCTCGCTCGTACCTGATTTTTGCTGACCCGGACAAGTCTTGGCTCCAAAAAGCCAAAGGTCGACCTTCCTGCAACAAAACAACCCCCAATCCTTTGCTAGATGCATGTTTTTCCAAGGTGAAAGATTTGCAAAAATTTGGGACCACCAATACTGGCAATTGAGAAACAGTACCCTTCAATGCGTCAAATGCTCGTTAAGCCTCAAGTGTCCAGTAAAATCTCTCCTTAGTTAATAACTGTGTAAGAGGTTTGACAATTTGACCAAACCCTTTCACAAATCTTCTATAGTATCCGGTTAACTCCAAAAACCCCTCAAAGCCTTGGCATTTTCTGGAACTGGCCAATTGGTCATAGCTTCCACTTTAGTTGGATCTGCAGTCACACCATCCTTGAAAATGATGTAACCCAAATACTCCAATTGTAGTTGGCCACAAACACACTTCTTATGATTAAGTATTAATTAATGACATTAAAACAACTTCAATACCTCCGCTAGATGAGCCACTTCAATGACTTGCAATTATTCAAAGGAAAGAGGAAGTTCGCTTGGCTTTAATATTTCCAGCAATAGTCAAGGGGAAAGCAACAATTTTGCTGGTACTTTTCGTAGTGTGGATCAGCCAAGTCGAGCTCCTTCTCGGAAATTGTCTTTGGAAGAATAACAGGATAAGATTAAGAAGGGCCTATGATTCAAGTGTGATGAGAAATTTGGTCCTACTCATATTTGTAGAAATAAATAGTTGCATATGTTGCTTATGTCTGAGGAGGAATTATCTTGCCTAGATACCCTTCAAACTCCTACTGAAACTCACGAGGAAGGGAAGGAAGAGATAGGTCAAATTTTGCAACTATCTCAATATATCATGGTGAGACTTACAACCAGGAAGTGCTAGAAACTTTGGGGAACAATTGGTCATGAGAACGTAGTGGTTTTGTTGGACTGTGGAGGCTCACAATTTTTTTTCAACAGACCTGAATGCCAGATGTGGGTTACATCAAGAACCAACTCTTCCATAAATGGTAGAGGTGGGGGATGAACATAAGGTGCATTGTCAGGGAAAGTGTCATGCTTTTATTCTTGAAGTACAGGGCCTGAAAATTCAACAAGATTTCTTTGTTTTCACATTGGGGGGTGTGGATGTTATCTTGGGATTGGAATGGTTGGCTTCACTAGGGGAGGTAAGGGCTGATTTTGGAGTTTACGATTAACAATTGGTAAGGGGCACGAGGAGCACATCCTTGTGGGTGATCCCACTCTATCCAAATCCGAATCTTCTTTGAAAAGGTTGGTGCATGATTTCAAGATCAAAGGCTTTGTGATTAAATAGGACTAGGAGAAGGAAGCGAATGGTAGTACTGTTTCTGTACAACTTCTAATTTTGGAGTTGCATAATGAAGTTTTTCAAGATCCAGTTAGCCTTCCTCCCAGTCGTCCTTATGATCATGCTATACATCTTCATGAGGGAGCATCTATTCCTAATCTTAGGCCCTACAAATACTCGCATCAACAAAATGATGAGATTGAACGCTTAGTCAAAGAAATGTTATAGGCAGGAATCATCAGACCTAACATCAATCCCTATTCAAGCCCAATCATATTGGTCAAGAAGAAAGATGGAGGGTGAAGGTTTTGTGTGGACTATCAGGCTCTAAATAAGATCACTATTCCCAACAAATTTCCTATTCCTATCATAGAGGAATTGTTGAATGAGTTGGCAGGTGCAACCACATTTTCAAAATTGGATTTAAAATTTGGTTATCATCAAATTCTCATGAGAGAGGAAGACATTGAGAAGACTGCTTTTCGAACCCATGAAGGCCATTATGAGTTTTTGGTTATGTCTTTTGGCTTGACTAATTCTCCAGCTACTTTTCAGGCTTTAATGAATCAGATTCTTCAACCATATTTAAGGAAGTTTGTCCTCAATTTTTTTATGACATACTGGTTTATAGCCCTACTATGTCCACTCATGTGGCTCATCTAGCGGAGGTATTGAAGTTGTTTTAATGTCATTAAATAATTGCAAGTCATTGAAATAGGTTTGGGGACATTATTATTGCATTGAACATGGAAAGGTCCACCTTTTGAGATGACTCGAACCTTTTCCTCCACCATTTAAGCC